GCACTGATTGTTACCTAGTTTGGGTAATGAAACGTCTGCAAGAAAACAAGCAAGGTCAAGAGAGCACCAAGGACCCCTTCAGTGGGTTTATATCAGAGCTTATTCCAAATTCTAATTCTGTACCATTTGATGTTTATTTGCAAGCTACACAGAGTCACTTTGCGTTAATGCTGTAAATAAATGTCAATACACCTGATATGATCAACCAATACACACAAAGCAGTCATTGCAAATAGGTTCCCTGAAGGAAAAGAAAGTGAAAGAATCCAGTGATCGGATCCAGGCACTCAAGGGGTGGGGGGTGGGGAGTTCCCCCTTCTCCTACCCCAGCCTGTGCGGGGCCCCAAAGGGTCTCTGAGGAAGGCCGCCTCTCCAAACCGTTCGAACTACAACTCCCACCATCCTGGGCTGGGGCTGATGGGATTCGGAGCCAGGCACCTTCGGGAGCGTCAGAAGAATTTTTTTTAAAGCAGACTTTGAAAGAAGTGGCCGGGATGGGAAGGATGGGGATTGTAGTCTGAAAGAGTGGCGGCTTGGGGCGGGGCGAAAAGCGGGGGGGGTGGGGAGGATGGGGATTGTAGTCTGAAAGAGTGGCTTGGGGAAGGGCGAAAAGCACGGGATGGGGATTGTAGTCCAAATAGGGAGTGGCTTGGGACGGGGCAGAAACCAGGGGCTGGGGAGGATGGGGATTGTAGTCTGAAGGAAGAATGGTTTGAGGCAGGAAGAAAACCGGGGAGTGAAGAGAATGGGGACTGTAGTCCGAATAGGGTCATGGAAGAAAACGGGGGGGGGGGGCGGGGGGGATGGGGGTTGTAATCCAAGAGGGGAGTGGCTTGGGGCGGGGCAGAAAACGGGGGCCGGGGAGGATGGGAACGTTAGTCCGAAGGCGGAAACCTTTCCAGGGCGGTCTTGGGGGCCAGGGAGCCGCGGCCTGCCCGTCAACCTCTCCCCCCAGTCCAAGTGAGGCGCCGCAGGGCCGAGCGGCTCCTACCTGCTGAGGCGGCGGCGGCGAGGAGGCAAGGCCGGAGTCCCCGACGGCCTCGGGCGGCCGGTGGGCGCAGCGCACGCGGTACATGCAGGTGGGGAGGTGCTCGGCCAGAACCGCCGGGCCGGAGCCGTCCTGAAAGGGCCTCACCTTGTACATCGGCATCGCGGCCGCCTCACCGCCGCTTCTCCTCATGCCACGGCTCACTGACGCGCCGGCGCACCCTCTCGCCGCCCATTGGAGGAGCCCTTGCCTGACGCCCCGCCCGTCGCGCCTCCCATTGGCGGCTTGCCACGGCCGCCAAGACTATTGGCCGAAAGAGGCGGGGCTCCCCCGTCGGCCGCGTGCGGTCTTTTTGCTGCCATCTGATGCAAGCTCCAAAGGGAGGGGGAGGTATAGAAGGCGGGTGAAGCGGCTCTTGACCTTAGACTTCGGGTTAAAAAGCGAAGCTATCGCCTCATGAGGGGAAGGGGGGGGGGCTTCTATCCAGATACGTTTCTTGGGGGTCAGGAGAGGAAGGCTCAGCGGACGCCTCTAAAGCTCCTGTTATAGAATTTTTTAAAAAATTTATTTTATTTATTGGATTTGTCAATCACTTACGAGATGATATAAGTATAAACATGAGTAAGAATAATAATAATAATAATAATAATAATAATAATAATAATAATAATAATAATAATAATAATAATAAGATGATGATGAGTAATAATAAGAGTAAGGTACAAATAATTGGGGACAATAGGACAGGGACGGCAGGCACGATTGTGCACTTGTGCACACCCCTTACACGAACTCTTAGGAACGGGGTGAGGTCAATAGTGGAAAGTTTGAGGTTAAAGGAGTGGGGTGGTTTGAGGATGTAACAACAGTCGGGTAGTGCATTCCAGCCATTGACCACTCTGTTGCTGAAGTTGTACTTTCTGCAATCGAGTTTGGAGCGGTTTACTTTGAGTTTGTATCTGTTGTGTGCTCTTGTATTGTTGTGGTTGAAGCTGAAGTGGTCATTGACTGGTAGGACATTGTAGCAGATAATTTTGTGCTCTACACTTAAGTCCAACCGTAGGTGGCGTAGTTCAAGGTTGTCCAAGCCCAAAATTTCAACCCTGGTGGGTATTCTGTTGCAAGAAGAGGAGTGTAGTAATCTTCTTGTGAAATACTTCTGGACTCGCTCAATTGTATTAATGTCCGATATACAGTGCAGATTCCAGACTGATGAGAACTGTATTCGAGTATTGGTCTAGCAAAGGTTTTGTATGCCCTAGTTAGCAATTCTATATTTCCAGAGGAGAAGCTTCGTAAGATTTGATTTACAACTCTTAATGCCTTTTGGGCAATGCTGTTACAGTGAGCTCTGGCACTTAAGTCATATGCCATGAAACAGGTGAATTCAGAAAACCAGGTCAGCGTTTCTTGTGAACACAGCTCCAGAAAATAAACAAAGAACCGAAGGAAAAGTTGCTTGAGAAACACTGCTTTGTATGTTTCAGGATCTGGGGATGAGAATATTGGGTTCCATGGTATACCCGAAGCGTTGGTTGTTCACACCGACTCCCTTCCCCTATATACTAAGCTTCGCTAAGATTTCGCTCCACCTTCCTTCTCCTCCCCGATTGGTGCGTGGATGGACCAATGAGAAAGCTTCTCCCCGGTGATTGGAGGAAAAGAATTCTACCCAGAAGACATCGCGAGCCTGGGAAACTGGAGGGATGCGCGGAAGGAAGCGAGCCTGTCTCGCCCGGGAAGAAGCGCGGCGACCCAACTGCGGGCTCGAAGGGAGATCGATTGACGGGGGAAATGGGCGGGGAAAAAACCGCCCCGCCCCTTTAGGCCTTTTTGCATGCCATTTGCATACTTCGTTTGAAAAGTGAGCAGGCAGCAAAGGGTTAAATTGCATCAGGAAAGAGAATGGAAGCTCCTCCAGTGTAAGTGCATTTATTGCATTGCTTTATTTTAGATTATTTGATGTTATTTTAATTGGAATGGAATTTCAGTGCATGTGTATTTATTGCATTGTTTTATTTTAATTATGTTATTTTAATTGGAATGGAATTTCGGTGTAAATGTGTTTATTGCCTTATTTTACTTTAGCCTTATTTGATGTTATTTTAATTGGAATGGAATGTTGGTGCATTTACTGCATTGCTTGATTTTAATTATGTTATTTTAATTGGAATGGAATTTCAGTGCAAGTGTATTTATTACATTGCATTGCTTGATTTTATTATTATTTTACTTGGAATGGAATGTCAGTATAAGTGTATACATCGCATTGCATTGCATTACATTACTTTATTATTATTTTTATTCTATTTATAGCCCACCTTTATTAATTTCATAAATTGCTCAAGGCGGCGGACATACCTAGTATTCCTTCCTCCTCCTGTTTTTCCCACAACAACAACCCTTTGAGGTGGGTTGGGCTGAAATGGAGCCAAAGTCACCCAACGGGCAGGACTCTGGCAGGACATCAAACTCACCACCTCCTGGTTTCTTGCCTGACGTTTTAACTGCTGGACCAAATTGATTGAAACTATAAAGTCTGACTTCTTGTAAATAGGAATCACTCTTTTAAAATTATTTTTAGTATTAAATTTATATGCTGCTTGACTCCTGGCAACTTGGGTGGTTTACACATAGTTACACACACATACACAGAACAAGCACTTTGGACAAATGTCTGCAAAGGTTTTTTTCCTGCAGCATAGCTCGGAGGAAAGTGAATTATGCAATTTGGTTTTAAGACACAACATTTTGCTCATCCACCAAAGCTGCCTTTCAGAGCTGTTTAAAACCTGTTTCAGAACGAGGGTATAACCTTACAGTTTGAAAGCAGAAGTGAAACGAAACCACCGACTTACAGTCCTGTGAACTGCGATATTTTCTGAGTGTAAAGCTTTGTTATTTTCCTTTTTTTAAAGAGTGGAAAAAACTATCAAGCCAATCGATCGCAGATCAGTTCATCAGATCTGCTCAGGCCAAGTGGTGCTGAATCTATGTACTGCTGTAAAAGAGCTGGTGGAAAACAGCCTCGATGCTGGCGCTACTAACGTCGGTCAGTTACTTGTTGTTTTAAAGTTTAGAGTAACTCAAGACTGTTTCAGTCATGCTATTACTCTCTAGTGGTGTTTGGAGGGAAGAAGACAGGAAATTGTAGAGATTTAATCTTCATGATTTTTGTTTCATTTATAGAAGTGAAGCTTAAAGATTATGGAGCGGGTCTTATTGAAGTCTCTGATAATGGTTGTGGTGTAGAAGAGGATAACTTTGCAGGCTTGAGTATGCTGTATCTCTATGTCTAAATCTAAATCTCTTAATTTGTAATATTATTTACAGTTAATACATTAGTTCTTCCACAAAGAACTACTTTTGTCCCATCTTTTAAAAAAAGGCAGCTGTTTTTGTATGGTAAGATATTTGAATCTCTTGGACTGCTACCTTTTTTTTTTTATAATGCAAAGTTTGGAAACCTGGGTACCCCAAACCACAAAGCCTTACGCATTCCTAAAACTAAATATAAAGTGTTTCAAAATGTGCTAGGATTAGCACCATCTTACAACATTTCCGCACGGTTTTACAATGCTGTGAGAGTGTGAGGAGGGAGCGAACACACGGTTCCCTATCTTTTGCAGCATTTCCACACCACCCACTCAGATGACCCTGGTAGGGTCCAAAATCATCAGTACAATAAGGATCATTTAGTGACCTTTTCCTCCTCCGAAACATGTAGGAAAATTAAAAGAGTCATAACTTGTTCCTTGCTAGGGGCCACAGCCTGGTTAAAATATATATATAATTTTCAGTGCTGTCTGAATTGAACCCGTAAATAAGTGGGAGGCAATGAACCCTTGGCATCAACCTAACCCGTAATGTGGGAGCCAGCTTAGAGAATCCCTGTCTTCTGGCCCATCCCTTTTCTCACCTCTGCCAAATATCTCTTCCAGCGCTGAAACATTATACTTCCAAGATCCAAGACTTCTCTGACCTCATCAACGTGGAAACGTTTGGTTTTCGAGGTGAAGCTCTGAGCTCTCTGTGCGCATTAAGGTAAGAAGTGTGTTCAGGTGGGAAGCATGCTAGTTAAAACAGTTGATGAATCTCAGGAAAGAAGACCAAGGAGAAACCATGGCACAGAATCTGGTTCGCTGCCCAGTTGCTGGGTGGGCGTGGCCTACTGGAACTTCCTGTTTCTGGCTTCCAGTGGGCCTCCAGAGCCCGGGGGAGGCCGTTTTTCACCCTCCCAATGGTCCGGAAACCTTCCCCCGGGCCTCTCGGTGGGTGAAAACAGTCTCCTCCGGACTCTGGAAGCTGTCAGGAAACCAGAAACAGGCCCGTTTCCAGACTTCCAGAAGGCTTATTTCCCCCCCTCCCAGAGCCTCCGCGTAGACCCTACACTTACCTGCATCCAAAATGGGCCACATGGAGACTCCGGGGAGGGGAGGGGTGGGCAAACCAGATTTAACTTTAACATCTGGTTCGCCCGAACCGGTCCAAACCGGTAGAATCCCACCCCTGGTAATACCTTCACTTTGTTCTTTGACTAGCAGAAAGTACACCCATAGTACTATGCGAGTAATGTCCCAAAGGTGTTTTTTTTCAAGAGGCAACTAGACTTTGTTCAAGAAAGTCCAGTTACCTCTTGAAGAAGCACCTTTGGGACAACCATGACCTGGATGACTGACTGAGAACCTCCATGGACATATATACCAGTAATGATTATACAGGTAGTCTTAAACTTACAGCCATTCATTCAGCAGCCATTTGAAGTTATAACGGTGCTTAAACCAACAGTGGTTATGACCGATCCTCGGAGTTCCAGCGGCCCCAGGACCTTTGTGGCAGCGATGTGAGTCTTTCCCTGCCTCTGAGTTTCCTTATTAACCATGATAACAGATAATCAGAGTTGGAAGGGACCTTGTAGGTCGTCTAGTCCAACCCCCCGCCCAAGCAGGAGACCCTACACCATTTCAGACAAATGGCAGTCCAATCTCTTCTTGAAAGCCTCCAGGGATGAGGCTCCCACAACTTCCAAAGGCAACTTCTGTTCCATGGGTCGATTGTTCTCACTGTCAGAAAGCTTCTCCTTATTTCCAGGTTAAATCTCTCCTTGTTCAGTTTCCATCCATTATTCCTTGTCTGGCCTACAGGTGCTTTAGAAAATAGCTTGACCCCTTCCTCCCTGTGGCAGCCCCTCAAATATTGGAAGATTGCTATCCTGTCTCCCCTGGTCCTTCTCTTTACTAGACTAGCCAAGCCCAGTTCCTGCAACCGTTCGTTGTATGTTTTAGCCTCCAGTCCCCTAATCATCCTGGTTGCTCTTCTCTGTACTTTTTCTAGAGTCTCAACATCTTTTTTATAATGTGAACAAAACTGGATGCAGTACTCTAGGTGTGGTCCTACTAAGGCTTTATAGAGTGGTATTAGTACTTCCCTTGATCTTGATTGTATCCCTCTGTTAATACAACTTAGGATTGCATTAGCTGAAATGAAATTGCATTCCTTTGCACACAGCAATGTTTCCATTGTCACTTGTCACAAGTCTTCCAATATTGGGACCCGGCTGGAGTTTGATCACAGCGGGAAGATCACTCGGAAAGTCCCATTCTCCCGGCCACAGGGGACCACCGTCAGTGTCCAGCAGCTGTTTCATACTTTGCCGGTTCGACACAAAGAATTTCAGCGTAACATAAAGAAGGTAAGAACCAGTCAGCTGGTTATTAACACAGGCAGGAAGAAGAATAGAATAGAATAGAATAGAATAGAATAGAATAGAATAGAATAGAATAGAATAGAATAGAATAGAATAGAATAGAATAGAATAGAATAGAATAGAACTTTATTATGGTCTTAGACCAGCAATAGACATCACTATTTGCAATATATATAAAAAAGTACTGACACATTATAATACATGAATGGTGGATAAAAACATCCCTGTTAAGAAAATACATGTTCTCAAACAGCTAGGGGCATTCCCTATCAAATATAGGCTGGTTTTTGATCATAATAAAGATCTGATCAAATCACCTTTTTTTCCCCTCTCTCTGACACACCCAAAGGAGTGTGACTTTTCTCTCTCTCTTTTCCACGCCTAAAAGGAGTTTGCCAAAATGGTCCAGATACTGCAAGCATATTGTATCATTTGCACTGGGGTTCGCATTAACTGCACCAACCAAGTTGGCCAAGGAAAGAAACAGGCTGTGGTGTCCACCAGCGGAAGTTCTACTTTAAAAGAAAACATTGGTGCCATATTTGGACACAAACAGGTAAAGAGCAGGGCTGATGGGATTAGCTAATTTGGGTGATGAAACATCTGCAAGAAAACAAGCTCAGAAGAGCCCCTCATCATGTGGTTAGTTTGATTCTGGCATGGTGCAGGATGGTTTGCAAATTAAGAGGGCCTGTGGATTCAGTTTCAATATAGGTTGTTATTTTCTTCCTAGGTGCAAACCCTGATTCCCTTCGTACAGCTGCTGCCCAGCGAAGAAGTCTGCGAAGAATACGGCTTGAATGTTTCTGCTCTACCCACTAAGCTTTATACGTAAGTATAAAATTGGAAATATATATATTTTTGTATTCTTTCTTGTTGTTCGTTTGGGCTTAAAAACCAGAGATCCAGGGCTACCGGACACAACATATATACAACATAGGTAAAGGTTCCCCTCGCACGTCCGTGCTAGTCATTCCCGGCTCTAGGGGGCGGTGCTCATCTCCGTTACAAAACCTAAGGGCCAGCGCTGTCCGAAGACGTCTCTGTGGTCATGTGGCCGGCATGACTAAATGCGGAAGGCGCACGGAACACTGTTCCCTTCTTCCCAGCAAAGTGGTCCCTATTTTTCTACTTGCATTTTTTATGTGCGTTCGAACTGCCAGCTTGGCAGAAGCTGGGACAAGAAATGGGAGCTCACTCCATCACGCGGCGCTAGGGATTCGAACCGCCGAACTGCCGACCTTTCTGATCAACAAGCTCAGCATCTTATCCCCTGAGCCACCGCGTCCCTAGCATATGCAACATATAAAAAGGACCATACAAGTAGTCCTCATCTTATGATCAGTTGCTTAGCAACGGTTTGAAATTATGAGAGACCCCTCCCAAAGGTACTTATGACGTAGTTCTAATGGTTATGCCTCCACCCCAGTGTCACGGACTGCAACTGGCCTGCATTTATGGCCATTTCCAGCGTTCTGGACCACCATTTATGGCGTTTTTGTTGAAAAACCTGTTTATTTCTGGTTTCCAGCAAAAAAGGCCTATAGCAAACAATGGGTTTGCTTAATGACCATTGATTCACTTAAAGACTATACCGATTTGCTTAACACCCCACTGCAAAAAAAAAAAAAGAGGTTGTCAAATCAGGTCGGTCACATGATGATCTCCTTTACGACCGACACGACTTGCAGCCATAACCGGACGACTCCGTTACGGTCGTAAGTCAAGGACTGCTTCTATACGATGGTCTTGAGCTAGTGCAGGGGAGAATTTCTCCAAGTTGGTTTAGATTCCCTTCTAAAATACGTCAAATGACTTCTTTCGGTCTACTTCGTTTTTATGGGATTCTCTTAATGACACGTTCCTTTTTAAACAGCATCGCAGGATTTGTTTCGCAGTGCAATCATGGTGATGGGAGGAGCGCAACGGATAGGCAGTACTTTTTTATTAACCAGCGGCCGTGCGACCCCGGAAAGGTATGTTTTTCTCCTGCAAGGGGTAAATTCTCAATTTATAAAAAAAAAAAGCTCTTGCTTCACAATCAGGAGGCTGTGAGTTCGATCCTAGGTAGAAGCAGATATTTCTCTCTCTCTCTCTCTCTCTCTGGGAACATTGAGAATATATCAGCTGAACAAAACTCCTCATTGGCAACAGGGAAGGGCATCCGGCCACTAAAACACTTTGCTAGCTCCATTCAGTTGCCCAGACTCCACCCCATGAGGGATTATGGCAGTGATGGCTAACCTTTGCACACGTGTGCCTGCATCCATAATGCAATGCATGCACGACCCCTCCCCCCGTGTTCCCCCGCCCCCCTGCTCATGCACATGCAACCCCCCCGTGTTCCCCCTGCGCATGCACACTCATCTCCCGCACGCGCCCCCTGCACATGTGTGGTAGATACCCGAAAATCAGCTGGCTGGCAGGAAGTGCGTGCGCGTATGTAGTGGAACTGAGCTGGGGCAACGGCCTGCGTGCCGGCAGAGATGGCTCTGCGCAGCACTTCTGGCACACACGTGCCATAGGTTCGCCATCACGGGATTATGGGATCTTTAAATGAAGATGATTCAAGAGCCTCTCTTGATTCTACTTTACTTTATTTTATTGTCATTGCACCTCGTACAACAACAAAATCAAACACCATCTTCAGTGCACATCATGACCATGAAAATAAACACAAACACACACCCTTCACGCTCCACACATTGAACCAAAAAACCCCCGACACCACACCAACACTGCACTATACAGCAGAATTCAAAAGAGCTCCTGCCCTGGGATAGAAGCTGTTTTTCGGCCTATTTGTCCTTGTTTCTATTATTATCCTCTACCGTCTGCCAGATGGTAATAGTTAAAAAAAAAGTGCCAAGGATGAGATGGATCTTTGAGAATGTTTTGAACTTTCTTAAGGCAGCAGGAGCTGTGAAGCTCTTCGAAAGAGGGGAAAGGGCAACCAACGATCCTCTGGGCAATGATGTTAACCCTCTGGAGTGACTACAGATAAGTCTTCAATTTTCAATCGCAGTTGAGTTGAACATTTCTGTTTAAGCGAATTTTTGCCCCATTTTACAACCTCACTTGCCAGAGTTAAGTGAATCAGTGCAGACAGTTGTGGGGGGGCTTTATATCTTTTTAAATCTCAACCAAATTCAACTAACGTGTGTTATTTTTCCTTTCTGTTTTCTGAACAGGTTTCCAAAGTTGTAAATGAGGTCTATCATATGTATAACAGGCACCAATATCCATTCATTGTTCTTAACGTCTGTGCAGAATCTGGTGAGTTTTATAAATTGTCATCGTTCGCTGCTATATATTAGGGTAAATTAGGGTAATTTAGCCTGCTTAATTATTATCATAACATTCCGATGAGGAGTACCTAGTTATCATAATGAGCCTGAACGGTGGAGCCCATCCGTAGGTGCGAAGAAAGAGAAAGATAACCAAAGAATGGTGAATGTTTTTGATTTCAGGATGCGTGGACATCAACGTGACTCCGGATAAAAGGCAGATCTTGCTCCAGGAAGAAAAGCTTTTATTAGCAATTCTAAAAACATCACTGATGGCGATGTTTGGCAGTGACGTTAATAAATTGGTGGTGAATCAAAAGCTGACCTATGTTGAAGGTAGGAAGTCGAGTTGCCATTTAAGCAAAACCTATTTATTTATTTGCATTTTTATCTGCATTATTTTGGACAGTCAGGTAACAATAGCTCAGATTTTCCTCTTATTAGCTAGCTGGAAGTTTATAAGCCATTTGCACCAAGACAAATTCCTTGTGTTGTCCAATCATACTTGGCCAATAAAGAATTCTATTCTATTTTATTCCTTGTGGAAGAAGGCAGGGCAGAATTTTATGATATATATATATTTATGATGCTTTTATATCTTTTTTCTCTTGCTATACGGAGAGTCCTCAACTTACAATCATTAGTTTAGTGACAGTGTCAGGGTTCCGTTGGATGCCTTAATTTATTCATGAGCCTCAAGCCAAGTTTCAAAAGAAATCCCATTATTTATAAGTGGAGTCAGCTCTGCCCCACGTGATTTACTGCCCACTTATGACCCTGTTTGCCCCCTCCTCCCAGGGTGTGTCATAAATCACATTCTCCAACGGAGCACTTTCCCTGGCTGTAGAAAACACACCTCTCCGGCTTGCCCTAGTAACCTGGGATACAATCTGGAGAAAGGTATGGGTGGAATGTGCTTCTGGTCGTGGCAACTTAACTGCTCTATCAGATCTGCCCCCACCTGCCTATGGCAACTCGAGAGCAGGCCAGGAATACTTTACGAGTTGACAGGCGGTTCAAACTTACAACAGCACCAAAGAATGTATGACCGTTTGTCACACTTATGACCATTGCAGCATCCCCAGGGTCCCATGATCAAAATTCACTGTCAAGAGTTCCAAGTAATAGACCTATAGCAAAAAAAAACCCTCCGAGGCAGGTAGATTCCTCAAAGAATAGTTTTATTGGATATATCATATTGACACAGGCTGGTGAAAACCGAGTCTGAAGTTTCACCTAATTAAAAGTAAACGTTTTTCCCCTTCTCCAAACTATCAGTCACATGGTCCAATCAAAGTGTCATCTGGTTGCCTGGTAATATTGCTCCTCCTCTCTCCAACCACCTGCAGAAATGTCCTTGGTTCCCAGGAGAAAGTATTTTGTTTCAGCTACCAGCTATCTTTATTCTTCCCTCTGTCTCCCTCAGCTCCAGTGTGGCAACACTGAAGCCTAAAAAATGGCTTCGGTCAGGTCAGCTTCTGAGTTGACATTCACACACTTGGCAACTGACTCGTACTTATGATGGTGGCAGGGTCCCAAGGTCACGTGAGCCTCTTTTGCGACCATCTGACCAGCAAAGTCAATGGGGAAGCCAGATTCACTTAAATTAACGACTGCAGTGATTCAATTAGCAACTGTGGCAAGAAAGGTCTTAAAATAGGGGGGGGGGGAATCACTCAGCAACCATCTCACTTAGCAACAGAAATTGTGGGCTCAATTGAGGGCGTAAGTCGAGGACAATCTGTACTTAGCAAATCACAACGGTTCTCTCTTTTTTTGGCAGGGAACTTGGAAAGCTTCCTCCGAAACGAGAAAGAAGTGTCTCCTTTGGAATCGTCTACCAGTCCTTTGCCTCCAAATCGGGGTGAGAAATCAGAAATAATTGCTCGTCTGAAGGAATCATTTTCTCGAGGGAAAACCTCTGCTTTTCAGGAGACCGAAAAGGCCCAACCGAAACACAGGCCCGCCAACCAAGGAATGTTCCAGATGTTCGCCGCTTTCTCCGCCTCTCCCCGAAAGAAAATTCTTCCCAGCGAGGAATCTGAAGACGGAAGCAAGGTGGATTCTGGGGATTCCATGTTTGCAGGCAGGAAGTTGGAGAAATCGAATGAAGATACGGACTCTGGTTTGGGGAGCGTCTCCGCCGAGTCTGATGGGGGTTTGAGCACCCCAGAAACGGGCGTCCATTTTAGAGCCGAAAGCGCTGTGGGTTCTTCCAATCGAGAGCCCCGTTGTTTGGGCGCAGAAATCCAGAGCAGCGAATGTGGATCTAGCGGCCTTTCCTGCCCCTCCGAACCAAACCGGAGTGAAGAAGATGGCTTCTCTCAACGAGCCACTTCACCCCCTAAAGCAAAACGTTTTAAGATCCTTCAGTCTCTTTCACCAAAAGCCAATTTATCAGCAGCAACCCCTGAGCAGGATTCTGGCGCGCAGCCCTTGTACGACATCCCAGTCAAAATGGAAAAGAGGACGGTGCCTTTAGCCTTCTCTTGGAGCACCTTGACGGACCGGATCCAGAGGCAAATTAAGCGCCAGGAGACCGAAGGAGAAATGTTGAAATTCAGACAATTCAAGGCAAAGATTAGCCCGGAAGAAAACAAAATGGCGGAGGATGAATTAAGAAAGGAAATAAGGTATGGCGACTCGCTTCTCTTCGCCGGAGAAGAGAGGCGTTCCCAGAAATGCTGTTGGCCGATGTGACCTTCGTACCTTTGTTTATTCTTTTATTTGTCTTACATTTAGAAAGATTCTTTCACACAGGTGGTCTTCGACTTACGACCACAATGGAGCCCAAAACTTCTGGTGCTAAACGACATTAATTGTTAAGGCAGTTTTGCTCCACTGTACGTCCTTTCTTGCCACCGTTGTTAAGTGAATCCCTGCAGTTATTGAGTCACATGGTTGTTAAGTGAATCCAGCTTCCCCATTGACTTGGCATGTCAGAAGGTCACAAAAGGGGGATCACATGACCCCCCTGGGACACTGCAACTGTCGTAAATATGAACCAGTTGCCAAGCGTCCGAATTTGTGTGAAAAACGGTCATAAGTCACTTTTTTCAACTGCCATTGTAACTTTGATGGTCACTATAACAAATATTTGTAAGTGGAGAACTACTTGTCAGATTTATAGGATGTCCCTAATTAGGGATGTGGTGGCTCAGCGGCCAAGACGCTGAGCTTGTCGATCAGAAAGGGCGGCAGTTCAGCGGTTCGAATCCCCAGCGCCACGTAACGGAGTGAGCTCCCGTTCCTCGTCCCAGCTTCTGCCAACCTAGCAGTTCAAAAGCATGTAAAAATGCAAGTAGAAAAATAGGGACCCCTTTGGTGGGAAGGGAACAGCGTTCCTCCGTGTGCCTTTGGCATTGAATCATGCTAGCCACATGACCACGGAGACGTCTTCGGACAGCGCTGGCTCTTCGGCTTTGTCATGGAGATGAGCCGGAAATGACTAGCACGTAGGTGTGAGGGGAACCTTTACTCTGAGTGACTCTGTAGTGACTCTACAGTCCTTGGCATACGATCACAATTGGGATTTGGACTTCCTTGCCAAAGCCATGCGGTCTTTCAGCGAGTCGCACCTAATTTTGCAACATTTTTTTGGGGGGGGGGGGGGGGCGGTGGTAAGTGGATTGGAATTGGGGGGGGGAGAGGTTTAAAGAACAGGCAGGTCTGACCATCTATGTCTTTATGGGTTTCTCCCTCTGCGTGCAGGAAAGAGATGTTTGCTAAAATGGATATCGTTGGCCAGTTTAATCTGGGGTTTATCATCGCCAAGCTGAAATCGGACCTCTTCATCATCGATCAGCACGCTACCGACGAAAAATACAACTTTGAGATGCTGCAAGAACACACGGTCCTGCAGGGGCAGAAGCTGATCCAGTGAGCGTCTTCTCTACACTTTGGGGTGGGGGAGGGGGTGTTCCTGACCTGAGCCATAATTGGTTCATCCAAGATGCCAAGCCATGAACAAGCAAATCTCATCTGGCTTCTGTATTGTGTTCGTCTGTGAGTCAGACTTTTACAGTTGTTTCAGTTTTTTTCAAAGTTTTTTACACACACACACACATATACTTTGTTCGGGTATTTTCCCACGTCATTATAGTTGTGCTTTTAAAGTTGTAGCAACATTCGGCAGAATCTCATCTGCCATCATCAGGCTTCTGTATTGTGTTCGTCTGATACAAAAGCCTGATGATACAGAAGCCTGATGATGGCAGGTGAGATTCTGCCGAAACGTTGCTACAACTTTAAAAGCACAACTATAATGATGTGGGAAAATACCCGAACAAAGCTGAATACCATATATATATATATGTATGTATGTATGTATGTATGTATGTATGTATGTATGTATGTGTTACCTATCTATCTATCTATGATCTATCTATGATCTATCCATCTATCTGTGTCTGTCTGTCTGTCTGTCTGTCTGTCTATCTATCTATCTATCTATCTATCTATCTATCTATCTATCTATCTAATCAGTGGTGGGATTCAAATTTTTTTACTACCGGTTCTGTGGGCGTGGCTTGGTGGGCATGGCAGGGGAAGGACACTATAAAATCTCCAATCAGGTGGTATTTGCCGGTTCTCCGAACTACTCATAATTTCTGCTACCGGTTCTCCAGAACTGGTCAAAACCTGCTGACCACCTTTGATCTATATCTATCTATCTATCTATCTATCTATCTATCTATCTATCTATCTAT